CACCCTCTCTAACATTTCAGCCCTCACATCTCTTCCTCCTCCTAGCTTTAGTATTTTTTTTTACCATTTAAATACTATTTGCTTTCCTTATTTACTTAGTCTGTTGTCTGTCTCTTCACTAGAATGTTACCGCCTTGAGGGCAGGGTCTCTCGTCTGTTTTGTTCACACAGAGTAGTCCCTGGCATGTAGTAAAAGCCCATTAAATATTTGTTAAATGAATGGTGAGCATATAGACAGCCTGCATTCCACTCGGGAGAGCCTGGGGGGTAAGGGTGAGGAGGGGTGGACAGGTGCAGGCGCTAGGCCACAGCGGTCTCTGAGACCCCTCCTCTCATAGGTGTCATCACGGGATTGCATTATCACTAGTCTTGAGCAGCACGATTTATAACAGGAGTTAACTGCTTACTAATTAGCAGCTGGAACAATTAATTGGCTATTTGTTAGAGCCCGATTTAATAAACCGGTCTTTCAGCAGGGTCGTAACTCTCCCCGCTGCTCATCCCCTCCCAGCCAGCCTTCCCCACCTGACCAGAGTGTCTTGCCCTGAGATTGAATCGATACCTGCCACTGGATGATTTTCAGAGACAATTTCCCTCGCAAGGCGATGACAACATCCCCTCAAAGACTCTTCCTTTCTTTCTCCCTCTCCTCCTCCAGGCTCTGACTCGCTGGAGGTGAGTGAGCAAGAGGCAGAGGAGATGGGGGAGCTTTCTAGTAACACACTCTCACAACAAAAGCCCACAGCTGCCCTGCAGTGCCAAGGTCTGGCTGCTGGCTCCCTGGCCTGGCACCCCCCCACTCCGACCCCCCCCCCCCCCCCCAGTCAGCAGCTGGTCCCTGAGGCCTCCTGGAGCTCAAGGGCTGAGCTTTCTCTGGGGAAAATAATGGGATTTTTCCTTAGAGCATCTAGGGTGGAACCCAAAAATTGGCAGTTGGTTGCTGCCTACTGAGCCTCCAGGCCTCAGGCCTCATCTGACTCAGGTCTAGTGATCTAACTCTCTGCCCCACCCCCAAAGAGCCCAATTTGGGGCCCAGAGAGTTGTTCTCCTGTGTGTGAAGAGAATAGGAAATACTTCTAGTGAAAACACTTACTAGGCCCTTAGGTCTCTTCAGTATAGAATCAGGGGAGAGTAAGGTCATAGAGCCAAACTAAGTCGAAGCCCACTTAAGCGTTTGGCAGCTGCATGAGTCACTGAATCTTTGTTATTCTATGAGCATAACAGCTCTGCCTCACATAGTTGTGATGAGGATTATATAGTTAATACACATGAAGGGCTTAGAACAGTGCCTGGCATGTGGTGTCAGCTGTTATTACGTCTCCCAACCACTCTGAGAGATTGGGATTCTCCCAACTTTACAGCTGGGGAAACTGAGGCCTAGAGCGGTTAGGAGTGGAAGGCAGGACAGGGCTCCCCGCCTAGTGCTCTTTTCCTTCTCTTTGTTGCCTCCCATCATCAGACAGAGGCCGAGGGCGGGGCTCACTTGCGGAGGAGATGACTGAATTTACAGGCGCGGCAAACAGGCTGTCAAGGTATTTACACTGCATACAATTAGCTGCAGTGTATTCACACGTGGATTAGCTACAGCAAATGTTCAATCCCAGCTTGGCTCCAACTCGGTCCTCCGTCCCCCTCCCCGTCTCTCCCCATCATCAGCAGTCTCCTTTCTCCTTCCGGCCAGTGTAGGTGTTCTGAGATGACAAACTCGAGAAAATGTCAGCTGAGTCCCTGAGATTCCTTGCCCCCCGCCCTCCTTCCTCCCCGCCCCCTCCCCCCCATGATGCACCCCACAGCCAAAGAAGAGCAATTAACTGCTGGTTGGGCCAGCTAATTGGGAAATAGGAAGGCAGTTTCCCATGACATGGATAAGGGCTCATCAACGCAGAATGGGCAAAGCCAAGAAGAGCAGCACTCAGTGTGATCATTCCCGGAAAGCTTCCTGGAAGAGGTGAGAATTTCTAGGAATTTTCAAATAATGTGAAGAAGGTGACAATAAAAGAAGCTACTCATCATTGCACCCATAGCAACCCTGGATCTCCCTGGGGCAGAAAATGGGTTTTTCTCTTTGGAAGGATGGTTGGGGGGTGAGGAGTAGAAAGGACGGCTGCACTGAGGGTATCCGAGGTCTGTAGTGTCTGGAGTACGATGGGCATTATTCATTCATTCATTTAACAAGTCTTCAGCTGGTATCTGATGGGTTTGGATCCCCTATTCAGCTTTGGACCAACAGGAAAGGAAGGAGAGAGAAGGGGGTGGGGGTGAAGGAGGTGCAATTAAGAGGAGGTGGGCTGAACAGGATTCTTCAGATGTTCTCGGACTTCCGGAGTGGACAGAAAGGGAGCTGAGGTTTCAGCTGACAGCACGTCCCCCCTCCCCATGCGGCCTTGAATTTCTCCCCACACCTCCCACTCCTGCCCCCGCAGCGGGAGTCAGCCCCTGGACAGGCAGTAGGGGGGGGAGGCAGCTGGAAATGGGCCTGGGGGAGGAGTGATTATTATTACTATTTTTAAAAATTTGTGTCCTAATTTACATATGAAAATATTAACTCCTTTTTTTGTGTGTACATTTCTTTGAGTTTTGACAAATGCAGAGTCGGGGCACCAGCATCACAACCCAGAAACGGAATAGTTCCGGGGACTGGTGGTCGGGTTGGTAACCTCCGCGCTCGCTAGCTGCTGCGGTTGTCCGCGCTCCCACCGCCGCCCTGATACAATCCTGCGCACACACCGAGAGAAATAACGGCGACAGGTGGAGTAGGTGAGATTAGCAGGACCCGGGCGCGGGGACAGGATCGGAGGCGAGCGGGAGGCCTCCCGCTTCACTTCCCAGTAGGCAACCTCCCCGCCGGCGCTTGGGAGGGGCGCTGTCCCCACCCCGGCTCCGCGAGGGCCGGCGGAGGTAGCGGAGTTCCGGAGTGCCAGACCCCAGCAGCTGGAGCGGCCCCGGGCTCAGCTGCCGGAAGGGAGCGCGCCCCTGGGGCGGCCTGGGGCGCCTGACGTCCTGAGGAGAGGCTGGATGGCGAGAGGGGCGAGCTGGGGAGCAAGGGGGAGGGCTCGGGCAGCTCTGGCGCCGGAGTCCTGCGGACAAACCTGTTGGCAACCTGTGGGCCGAGGCAAGGGCAGGAGCTCCAGCCGCGCCTCCTCAGCCGGCGGCCAGGCGGCGGCCCCACGCCCTGCGCCGAGAGAGGCGGAGGTGGCCTGGGAAGGGGCGGGGGCTCGGCCGGGGGCGGAGGGACTCCGGGGCGCGCACACAGCCCTGCAGACCGACCGCAGGAAGCCTGCTCGCGCGCCTGCAGGACCCGGAGAACCGCGGCGCCCCGGCCTTTCTCTCCGACCCTCGCTTCCGTCTCGCTCCCCAAAGTGCAAAACATTTACAAAGTGTGCAGTGCCCCGCAGGCTTGGGTCCCCGGGGCGAGCGGCCGTTCCTGCCCCGCGAGCGCCATGGGGTCGGTGCGCCCGGCTCGGGCGGCCGGTCTGGGTTTGCAAGGGCGGGCGGAGAGCGAGTGTGCGCGCCGCTACCGAGCCCGCGCCGAAACCCACGTCCCTCCGCCACTGTCCTCGGGATAGATGGATCCATTTCTGCTTTCTGACATTTTCCTCCGGGGGGGGGGGGGCGGTGGAGAAGGGGCGGAGAGAGGGAGATGGAGGAGGGATGTGAGGAGGGAGAGAGGGAGAGAGAGAGAGAGAGAGAGAGAGAGAGAGAGAGAGAGAGAGAGAGAGAGAGAGATGGCAGTCTGCTTCCCCCAGCCCTGTTTTGTTTTCTCTAATTGGTCCTGGGGGAGGCGAGGAAATTGGACAGAGGCTGGACCGGGCGAGCTGGGCTGCCTTTAATTGGCTCCTTTTTTTTTTTTTTTTTTTTTTTTTTTTTTAACTGGAGGGGAATCAAACAGGAGAGCGAGCGACAAAGGGTGGGAGAGCGAGAGACCGAACGCGGGGACGCGAGAAAGAGGGAGGAGGAAGAGGAAGGGAGGAAGGGAGGGCGGGAGGGAGGCGGGGGGAGCGCGAATGAAAAGCTCCGAAGGGGGAAAAGCAGCACAGTGAAGCCCAAGTTGCGGAGCGAGCGGAGCGCTCCCGCGGCCCGGAGCCCAGCGGCCGCCGCGCGCGGAGCCCGGCCCGGCCCCTCCCGCTCGGGGCCCCGCCGGTCCAGGCGCCGGGCGGGGGCAGGGACGATCAACTTGGGGCGCGGCGCAGCCCCGCTCTCCGGAGAGCACCGAATCGGAGCTCCGCGGCCGCGGCTAGACCGCAGGAGCCGAGCGCGGCGAGGGCAGGTGGCGAGCGGCGCCCGCGCTGCAGCCCGGGCCTCGGCGAGAGCGCGAATATTTTTCAAACGGTTCAAACTTTCGTCCTTTCCCCGCTTCCCTTGGTCGGTCTTGACTGGAACTGCTCTCCCGATTCCCGCGGGACGCCCGGTGCGATTCCTCTCCGGGCTCCTCCGGGCTCCACTAACTTCTCCCCTCGGCCGAGTCCAGTCCACGCTGCTCGCCCGCTCCGGAGGGCCCGGGCCCGGGCTCCTTCGCCCCTGGGAGGGCGCCCAGCCCGGCCCCCTTGGGTCGGGCCCTTGAGCCCCCAGCACCCGCCGCAGGACTGGAAGCCGCAGATTAACCGGACGGAGCCTGGCCTCCCGGCCCCCATCTCGGAGGGGCGTCCCCTGGGCGCAGAAACGACAAGTTTATTAGTCGTCGTTGGCCTGTTGGATCGAAGAACCGCCGCCGAAGAAGGTCCCCGGCGCTCCGTACCCCGAGAGGAGAGCCCTGGGGACCCGGGGAGACTCGGCGGCCGGGCTCCTCGGGCCGGGGCGCTGGCGGCTGCGCGGGGCGTGCGGAGGCACCCGGGGCCGGGCCCGCGCCCCTTGCGTCCTCACCGGGGCCGCGGCTCTGCCGAAGGAGCCATCCGCGCCGCTGCCGCCGCCGCCTCCTCAGTCTCCGGGTCTCCGTCGCCTCTCCGAGAACGGGGAGACGCAGGGGGCATCGCGGGGCCCCGGCGGATGCGCCCCCCGCCGCCTCTCGGGCTGCGCCGCCTCGCGGGGATGAAGCACCGGCCGTGAAGATGGAGGTGACCTGCCTGCTACTTCTGGCGCTGATCCCCGTCCACTGCCGAGGACAGGGCGTCTACGGTAAGAGCCCGCGCCCGCGCCCGCGGCACGCACGTTAGCACCGGCGGAAACTTTGCAAGAGGCGCAAAGCGCGCGTTGCCGGGGTTTGGTGGGGACCCCGGCGGCTCGCACTCTGGAGGGGATGCCCGGGTCCCCGCCCTTTCCCAGGCGCGAGAAGAGCGAACGAGCTGCTTCGGAGCACAGAGGCGGGTCGTGGGGTCTGGCGTGAAGCTGGTGATGCCACGGGGAGGCACCCACTTTCTCACACCCTGTCAGAGGCGGGAGTGACTCCGAACACCGGAGAGCACCCAGTCGGCTGGCTCCGGAGACTCCGACAGACCTCAGGCCGGGGCCGGGGCAGCGACTTGCACCGCAGCCTGGTTTACCCCGGCTCGGCCTGGGGAGCGGAAGCCGAGCGCTGTGTGACCCAGAGTTGCGCGTGGTTTGCGCGAGAGCTGGCAGCCGGCACCGCCACGGAGCCGCGGGCTCGCCTTCCGCGATCTCACAGAGGCTTCGCTTCTTTTAGTCGCTTCTTGGAAACCCGAGCGGTTGCCACATCCCCCGGATCCGGAGCCTAAAGCCCCGGCATCCCTTTTCGGACCTCTCTGGAGCCAGTTCTCCCTGCCTCCGGTTCCCAGCTACAAAACCCCAGCCCCACCTTCCGTTCCCTGTGCGCGCGCGCGCGCGCGCACACACACACACACACACACACACACACACACACACACACACACACACGGGCACTGTCCCCCCAAAACGCAAACAAGGCACACACCCACCCGCGACGCCTCCAAACGCTGCCTCCTGCCCGGCAGCTCTGCTCCCGCGTCCCCAGGCCTCGCTCTTGGGCGCTAAGGGGACTCCAGTCACCCCTTATCCCGTCTTTTCCGTGGGTTTTCCCCGGGAAAGGTCCCCAGAACAGGCATCACGGCTCTCAGGGACCCTCCCTCTGACTTCTAGCAGCCCCGAATGCCCCGACCCTGCCGCACAAAAAGTCAGTCTCTGGGCCCAGCGGCCCCTACTTTGCTTTCTGCTGACTGCAGGGCAGCCTGTGCAGGCCACTTTTTAATGAAGTGAGCTGGAGTGGGAGGATTCTCTCTTTCTGAGGTTGAGGGCGTAGTTACTGCCTTTAAGATGAGGGTGGGGGAGGGGGGCGGGCGGGAGAGTTTGGCCTGTTCTACTGGTGGGGGTCAGATGTTTTGTCCCTCCCCATACATTTTTGGCTACCAGCCTCAGGTGCAGATGCTAAATGCCTCCTTCTGGGGGTGCCTCACAAGAGGGAGGGGTGCCCTGAGGGGTTTCTGGGAGGTGACTTGCTAGCTGGCTTGGGTTTAATTCCCTGGGGAGGCTGGCCTAGGCATCTGGCCAAACTCTGCTTCTTAATTAGTTTGTGTGTCTCTTACTGCCTGGCCCTTTATATATAGGCCAGAAAAGGAAAGACGAGGAAGAATGAGAGGCTGGGTTATGGGGAGGAGGCGACTGAGTGGGTCCCAGAGGCCTCAGCCCCTCAGGGGTTGTGTGTGTGTGTGTGGGGGGGGGGCTCTTCCTTCCTCTTTCTCCCCAAGGTTTCCCTTCAGCCTCACTGTTCCTTAGGAGGAAGCCTAAAGAGGGACATCCATGAGGTCTCCCCCTGTTTTTCACCACACCCAGGAGGTCTGTAGAGTGACTGAGAGCCCTCCTGTTGGCTGCTGTCCCCCACTCTCCTCCCTCTGAGTGCCCTTGGGCAGATCTGGCATGCCCATCTCCCCACCATGGCCATCCCCTTCCTCCATTCCCTCCACCTCCTCCAACCTCCTCCAGGGCTGCACGGGACATATCTTGGGGAAGCTACTCCGAGTCTAGCCCTGAACCCCCAGCAATGAGGGCGGGAGTGGGAGACAGGTGCAGTGGTCTCTGCAGACCCTGATTTCTGAGTGCTTTGGGGCCAGGGTTGAGTCATTGGCTCATCTGCCCCTTTTCTGGGTGTTTTCTCCCCTCCCTGAGTCCAAGCTCTCTCACTCAGAGTGAGGTAAGTGGGTTGTGTGCATTGGGGCCAACCCCTGACTCTTGGATGCCATTCTTTCCACCTGCCCTTTGAGAGTGTGGCTCCAGGGAAAGACTGGGGCCTCGGGGGAATTGCTGGGTGGAAAGTCTTTATGGTGGTGGATGGAGAGAAAGGAAGATCTAGTTTGAGGGGGAGGATAGCAGGAGGCTACTGAGTTCCTTGTGAAGCTTTGGCCAGATAAAGCCAGAGAGAACCATCGTAGGGCTGGGGCTGGGGTAAGGAGTAGTATGGAGAGCTGATTTTCTGCTCCCTCCCCCACTTTCCCTCTATTCACAAAGCAGATGAAGCAACTTGAGAAAGAGTGGAGTGCAGGTGAGAAATGGTCAGGCATGTCCGTCCCTGTGTGCCAGCACCCAGCATGGTGCCTGGCACACAGCAGGAGCTCAGCAAATATTTGTTGCAAGAACGAAGGGCCATGGTTTGGGGGGAGTTGGAAGAAATGCTTATTGAAATTCTTTCTTTCCCAGGTGTCTCCCTAAGATGGTTTGCACAGGGCAGTTGGGCATTCTTTGAGGGTCTCTGCTTAGGGCGAGTCACAGTCTTAGGCTGGTGGCCATAGGCTGGTGGCTATAGATAGGGGGGAACTCAGGATGCAGGAGAGAGAGGAGGCTGGAAGCCCAGTGCTATCCTGGCAGTGAGGAGGGAGGCAGTTTTTACTCAAGACACACAAAAAACAAGTGTGCCCTGGGGAGGGAACCACCGGCCCCTTCCCCTCTGCTCCCAGGCCTGTGTGGCTGAGGGAGGAGCAGATTAGCAAACATGGAAGCTGAATTGGAGAGAGGGAGGAAGACTGGGATGTGGAAGGCAAACCCCGCCATAATCTGGCCTGAGCTAGGAGTCTCTGCTGAGGCTGGTAGGAGGCAGGGGCCTGGAGACCTATGTCTGCTTCCCTCTGAGGGCCCTCTTGCCGGACCCAAGCTGCGCTGTCTGCAATGGGACCGGGGAAGCTCTCTCAAACTGGCCAGGTGGCTTCGCTCTTCTTTGGGGCACAGATGCTATAGCAGCTGAGTACTAGACCAGATGGTCCATTTGGAGCTGGTTCCCTCTTTCCTCCCAGCCTCCCAATCTCCTGGCCCCGTTTGTTGTGCTCCAGGGTGGATCCTGTAAGCTTCTTTCCAGCAGGCCAGGGGTGGTGGGCTGCCCCAGAGGCCTCGTTCTAGGCAGAGGGAGTAGCCAAGGGATGGAGGAGTATCCTTCATGAGGATACACCTGCCCTGGCTCATCTCCGCCCACGGCTGCCGGACTTCCAGCGAGGGGCGGGTTGAAGGGATTCCTCTCCCTTAGAAAAACACAACAAACCTCGGGATTATTTAATATGCAGGAGTGGGAATTGACATTATCCTTAAGACAGGTTGTTTGCAACTTACTGGTGGAAGTCAAAATATTTCACCAAAGGTGTCATCAGAAACTACTATCCTATGCTAATTTTTGTGGGAACATGAAGACAGATGTTGAATAATTTGACAAGAGCAACATAGCTTACAGAATTATCACCAAGTCAGGTGTTTTTTTTTCCCTCCTCTGAGGGTGTGGAGAAGGAATTTCAGGAAGTGTGCCTCCCAGCGCCGCCTTCTGGGTGTTGATCTAGGTGTGGGCACTCAGGATTTTTCACTAGTTTCCACCCCAGGCCCAGAAACTGCCTGTCCAAACCGGACTCTCCCTTGGGAGAAGGCATCGCATGGAAAACTCTAGGGGGGTCAGGGCTGACAGAAAGCTGAGGGCTTTGCAAATGTCCTCAAGAAGGTCCAGGCCTCTGTCCTCCCTTCCTTCTCAGTTATAGCAACTGCAGGAGGGAGAGGGTCTTGTGTCTCCAAATCCAGGCACTTTTGTTTGCTTTGCCAGCACTGTCTGTATCCCCCATTGAGGTTTGGCCCCTGAGCCTGCTTGAGGGCTCCCCCGTTGTGGAGTCAGACCCAAGAGCCCCCACCCCCCACTCTTAGGTTCAAGATCTGCATGATGCCTCATTCTACGAATCTGTGCTTCCTGGCTGGTGGGGGCTCCGGAGGTGGTGGGGTTGGTTAGAGAGGATTATATTAGCCAGGAAAGCACCCTTGAGGGGGCGGCTGCAGACATACCACGGGCCTATTTGTAATTGGCCGTGCTTGGCTGTGAGCTGCTGGGGCCGGGTGGCAAAGCCTCATTTAAAGCCTGGTATTAGCTCTGCTTTGCTGGAACATGGAGGGACGGGCGGGGGGCTCCACAGGGAGAATGGAGGGAGCTAATCACAGCAGCCAAGGCCGGCAAATGAATGATGCAGGAAATCAATACCTGGGTGTGGGAGTGGAAATCCGGGCAATGGTAGCAGCCGTGGCTTCTCTGGCTGCCCAGGAGGCAGAGGCGGGCCTGGGAGGAACGAGACAGAGGCAGGAGTGTGGTGCACCCTCCTCTCCGCTTCACATCCTCCCCTTACTGCCCCCAGTTCTGCCTTCCTCAGCCCTTCCCACTCCAGCCTTGCATCTCCTTGTGGCGGGGCTCAGGGAGCCTAACCCACCAGCAAAGACAGGGGATCTGGAGATGGGATCTTGGGCCTCTCAGTCCTGGAAGAGACATGCCCCATCCGTACCTTGCCTCTGGACACAGTCTGACTAGGCCCCAGGTGCAGGGGTGTGTACCTGAGGACCCTGCCCTGTGCACCTGGAGCTGCCACTCCAGATATGGCCAGCAGGGGGCGGGCTTGGCCGCCACATTGCTTATTGGTTTTCCTAGACTCTCTTGGCCTCAAGACTCCAGAGAGATGAGACTTATTCTAATTCCTTAGCCTGGGACCCAAGGGGCATCCCTAGGCCTTCTGTAGTTCCACACCTCCCTCCAGCTCTCATGTTTCCCCTCCCAGTGTCCCAGGGCATTTACCTGTGGCCAAAGCCACACTTCCTACCCCCTAGGCCAGAGGAGAGCCCTATGGTGGGAGGCTTCGCTTGTGGGTTCCTGTCCAGGTGGGGCTGTGTGCAGAGCAGGGGCTCCTGCCCTGGCAGTGCTG